GTCAGTATATTATATATACAATGTTCCCTGGGACAGAAATGGATAACTTTTATATACTTTGTATGTCAATCAAGAAAAAAACCTGAATGCAGCCTAAAATACTTATATTTCTTTGCTATCATAGCATCAGAAAACACAGACATAGTTGCCCTGGTGCACTGACTTTGGGTTCTTTTTATAATGCCAACAGATATTTTGGTAACCTGAAATCATTTACTGATTGACTATTCCAACCAATAGACAAAAAAGGTACCAATAACACCAATACCAGATAAAGCCACGTCAGGACACAATTATATGTTGGGAAAGACAAAAATGCTAATTTAGGGGACACTATTTTAGAAAAACAACATCATACAAACAACTTACGACACTATAAAACTTTCATGTGTTGGATGCCACTGTAAAAATCCATGTTCATATTCAGGGGGGAAAATCTACGGTGGAAAACTACTTAAAAATGACAAACTACCAGTAAAATAAAACTTGACTATGTCACCTAGGCATTATAACTATTAAATTAGTACAAGGATTAAAAATGCTCAGAAGACCTATAATAGATTACTAAATTTAATATTAGAGTTAAACCTAAGTAGATACATTCTGGAAAACATATTAGGTATCATTAATATGTTTGGCCTTCAATTCTGAAAATACGCTCAAAAGAAAACCCTCTATTTTCCAACTTCCGTTTATAGAAGCCTAAAAGTATTTTTATGCTAGTTTCTAATGGGTAAAATGAAATATACTAGTTTCACCTATGACTATTACCAAAACATTTTAAATGCTTAATATTAATATTTCTTCCCAAACATTAAACAATAACATTTCAAACAAAATTATTTTCCCTAAAGGCTACTGTCACCTAAATATATCTAAAGATCATCATTTAAACTGGTTGTTAAACTGAATTGTATAAAATAAAAATTGAAAGAGTATAAAATGAAAAAGAAAATATAGCTACATGATGAAAATCTCAGTTATAATCTAAACTGAAATTGAGGCCTAGGTAAAATGCCAAGAGCGCTTTTCTTTAGTGTGAAGACCTCACTTCTTAAATCAGTCTAACCTATTTTAGAACACAAAGGACTTAATAGTATAAATATATTTTATAAAAGTAAACTCACTGACCATAAACAGAAAACAGACAAATATGGGGGTAAATTTTTTAACAAAACAACAATTTAACATAGATTATAAAATATTAAAAAGTGATGTCACATTCAAGTGATAAGTAATGACGTTCAATCTATTAAATGTGAACAAATACAAAGAGATGAATTTAATTATTTCTGATAAAGTATCACACCACAAGTTCTATTGAAAAGAGTAACCCATTTAAATCGTAGTTGAAACAGGGAATTAAATCATAAGAGTAGCTATGAACTTAGCCACACCTTCCATTTTTCTCCACTCTGCTGATAAAAACTCCTTGGTATTGAGAAACTATGAGAAAATGTTACTTTTGACCTCAAAATCCTTTTCACAAAGATCAAGATTATTTCTCTTTAGCAGAAAATATCAAGTAAAGCTCTAAGAGTTTACCTCTAATAATCGAGTCCAGCAGATAGCACTGTTTTCTAATTATCATGGTATGGTGTTTCAATGTTATAAAAAACTACATATTTCAAGATACTTCAAAATCAAGCACAAACTAAAAATGTTTACAGCATCAAAACCAAAAGCCTATAAAATGAATTTCAAAATATTTTAACATGCAAAAGCTATTATTCGGGAATATGTAAGTTATTGTATCAGTACTAACAAAAGTAGCTTCCACACCTCAAAAAGGGCAACAACTTAAAATCTGCATTCAGAAAAAGACCATTTTCCTTTTAACATCATATTTACAAATATGCCTATAGATAATACAAACTTGAGAGCTAAAATTTATCACTGCATTCTCAATGGTGAATGCATTAATAGAATATGAAACGAATTTTTTGATACTCTTAATTTCAACATGATCAAATTGGTAATGGTTTTTTATCAATTTAAAGAAGAAAACTTAATGAACACAGTAACATTCACAGTAGAATAACACCTAAACAATCTGACACTATTCAAAATTAAACACAAATCAAAATAAACCAGGCGCTGTATCTCTTTTAAAATTACTCAGAGCCATTAATTACTCTACACATTTCAAATTAATAAATGGCATTTTCCACCCATGGGTCCAGGTTATGATTCCTCTAAAACTCCAATTTTTACATAAGTAATTGAATGGTCATTAAGTGACTCTTCAAAGCACAGAATCTTCAAATGGTAACCTACCCAATTACATAGATTCTATGAACTCTCCAATAACATTTATAAAATAAGCACTGTACTTAAACAATGACAAACAGCAAAACCTATTGGCTCTATTCTTCAGAACATATCCAGAATTCAACTTATGTCAACTACCACCATCCTGTTCTAAAGCACTATGTTCTCTGTTCTAGATAACTGCAATAGCCTTCTAAACTAGATTCTTGCTTCTACTATGATCTGCTGTCTTTTGCAACACAGCAGCTTTGTTTCTTCAAAGTGAAGTACAGAACCTGGCCCTCCTTTGTTCAAAACCCGCCAATGGACTTATCTATCTTGTTTATTCCTAAATCTCTGGCACGTAATACAGTCCCCAGCACATACAAAGTGTTTGGTATTTGTGAAATGATTAAATGGATATTTGAATAGTCCTTAATTATATGCAGCAACCAAATATTTATCAAGGTCCTAAGCATGAATTTCACAAAAAAGGATACCACCAGAGGATGACATAATCCAACTACTGAAGCTCTGAAACAGTATTATCCAAATTACAGTCCAATGTAAACCAATTATATGTAGAACTGAATTCCTATGTTGAAATATTTATGTATATTTTTCAATTTATACGAGAAAGAAATAAAATTTTAAATTTCAAGGATAGTTTTACTTTGGAAGATGTAAATTAATTTTTAAATGAATTTATTTAAATAATTAATTAAAAGAAAAAAGTGATGAACAGAGTAAGGTTAGGCCACAGCAGAATGAACATATGTGAATGTCTCAGGTTTGGGAAACAATGCCCTCGAAGAGAACCACGTGACAAGGAAACCTCTTTTAAAGCAAAAAACTACCCATTACTAGCCTCCCATGACAACTAGACCTCAATTTTTGAGGTAAGATGTTCTCTGCACTTATCAAAGATATGCACATATCAAAGTCATGACAGCAGTTTCATTTTACCCCAAAATGTAGTTGTGATATTTACGAAATCAAGGACTGCGTGGTCCCATTATTCCAAGGGCTATTTCTCAAACCTGTCACATAAGTTATGAATGTGTACTACTGACTTCACATACAAGTGAATCACCACAAATGAAAGAGCACACTGCTGGCAATGGGTGAATGTTATGCTTCAGAGATAATGCATTTGTATCAGTGTCAATTAGCCCCTTCATAACTCCACTTAATTTCAAATAAAGATATCAAAGTTGAAGTACTGCAAGAAATCTGACAAACTTACTCGATGACAGTTTGTTTTTTTTTTTTTTAATCTTTTCTATAAGCTATTTGGGAAACAGAAAGATACAAATGGAGAAAATAAAAGTCATCCACATGAATATTATCTTCATTTATATTCTAGTATTTTCTTAAACAAAATTAACATTTTCTAAATACAATTTTCCTTTTAAAACCTTGACTTGTTCGTGAAAGAGAATTTCTTTTTATCCACTAAACATATTACAATAGAGGTCTTTTTTTGGATGACTTACATTTAAAAAAAAAATCATTATTTCAGTGCCTGTATCATTCTTTTCTGTATCATTTTTATCATTATGAGGCTATACCAAAACTTAATTTTCTTACTATATTTAACTAGTTTCTACCTACCATTCTGCAATTATCTTTCCAGAAAAAATAAATTATATCCTTATCAAACAAATGCATAAGTTCTCATTTGATCTTCCTTATTAATATCATACTTAAACTTTACCCTCCTTAACATATAGATAAAAAATGATTAGCAATTTAATTAACTCTATTATATAGTTTGTTCATGAACATATATATACCATGGAAAATTAACTACTCTACACAGATCTAGTATTTCCCTGGTCTTCTAAACATAAATAAGCTACTTATATAGCAAAATTCTCCTACTTGTTGACAAATTTGGATGATAAATCAAGCTTCTTGTAGTATGTCTTAGTATAAGAAAATAAGATTTCTCACTCCATCCAAATAGTTAAAATCAAAACAACTGACGTTTCAGGTTCACGAGCCATTTATTTTGTGATTATCATTAACATCGTTTTAAAGATCTTATATTATAAAAGCATGTATTTAAACAATTTTAATACTGTCTTTATCTACTTTTAAGATATGATAAAATTGACTTGGTTATTTTTCCTATTTAAAAACTTTGTCTTGTCTGATCTCGGAAGCTAAGCAGGGTTGGGCCTGGTTAGTACTTGGATGGGAGACCACCTAGGAAGACCAGGTGTCGTAGGCATAAAAAATAAAAAAATAAGGAATTGTAAGCTAACAGGTCCTTGCAATCTGTGAGGTCAACCAAGGGTTGCCTCATCTAAAAAAGAAAAAAAGTAAAAATAAAAATTTTGTCCTAATTATTAATAATCATCTATTTTTTTCTATCTGTATAGAAAGGACTAAGTTCTGAGTGTTTATAATATTTATACGCTCTTAATATTTTCTTCTCTGATGAGATTTCTAAATAAAACCAATTAAATTCAATTATATAATGCTAGACTATAAACAATTCAAAATTGCTTTTAGGTTAGTAAAATTATATTGATAAAATATATATATTAGAGATACTAGTTGGAAGTATGAGAAAAATTCTATTAGGTGAAAGCTATCAATCAACTTATATTTTAGAAGCAATAGTTAGAAGTAGCCAAACACTATACAAGTGATACCTGTAGAAGATGTATTATTAGAGAGAGAGCGAGAGAGAGAAAGAGATCAAGAAAGGTTATGCAGCAATTGAAGAAAAAAAAAAAAAAAAAACAAGTAACAAGATGTGTGGTTATGGAAAAAAAACCTACAGGAAATGTGACATATGTATACTTTAAATGTTTATTATAATGTATTCTGAAAGCATCTATATATTTTTATAAAACTAATTATGTATACATCAAAGTATTTTTAAATGTATTATATACACAATAAACTGAGTATAGGGATTTTAGAGCAGGGCAGGGAGAAATAAAACTTTACATATACAATTTGCTGTGCTGTTTCAATATTTTATCTTAATAAAGAATTACTTTGAGGGGAAAAATTTATAGAGTAGTATAAGACTATTTTAAAAGGAAAAAATCAATATGTATTTAATTTTTAAATATGAAATGTGATACTGTTAATATTAGCTCAATTTTTAAATAGCTCAGGACATACTGGCTCATCTGCATTCATGCACTATCTTTCATGAAAAACATAGGTTTGAAGCAACTTTAGCTATAGAGATCAATTTAGAATATATTTGTAGCTACTGATTTAAAAACAGTTTTTAAGAACAGATTATACGTTCGCTTCTAATAACATTTTAGGAGGGAACTCACTTTAAAAACTGAACTATCAACACTTTCTCTTCCACTTTACTCAAGTAGATATCAGGGGTTATACTGATACTAATTAGGTCTCTTCTATCACAACCCAGTAACAGGTTACAGAATCTGGTTTCATGTGCATCCAATCTGGTCATAGTTTTCATTTTGTTCTCGATTCCCAATGATAGAAAGTATAGCTTGGTCCACCACTCATTCATGGCTTACTTCTGTTGCCTAAATCTCCCAAAGCACTGGGTGTGCTGCTGGGAAGTGGGCTACTTTGGTCACACATACACATATATGCTTCAATTTTTATCACAAGTTTCCTTTAAGAATGAATGAAATGCATACTTAGAAATGTGAATGTGACAAGTGTTTTTATGACCAGAAGTAAACTTTTGGAATCAAGGCTTTTCAATAACTAACCTTCAATAGTCACCTCAACTTCGGGGTCCTCACTTGTTTCTGAAGGGACATGTTGAGTAGAATCTTGAAAAAAATAAAATTCTAAAATGACATTCATTATAAAGCACTTTCTTTATGTTCCAACATTTTATTGATCTGATACTCCAAAAGCAGCCTACTATAAAATTTTACTGGCATCTTCATTCATCTCATATTTATTAAAATATCTGACCCTTTTAATTATAAGTAGGGATAAGAAAAAATAAAAATTAGAAAAACTCTGGAAAACTATTAAATAATACCAAGTTATCTGTAATAATGGATTAAAAAAAAGTTGTATTTTTAGAGAATAAAATTATAATAAAGTCACAATTATTTTCCTGCTGTAACTAGCAAATGCTAGAATAAAAACAAAGATTTTTTCTTTTTTTCCTTTTTCTTTTTCTTTTCTTTTTCTTTTTTTTACTATTTCTTCTCTGCTTTCAGAAATTCTAGGAGTGGTTCATATTGTTAAATAAAACAATTATCTGCAATGGGGCCTTCAGATCAAGACAATGACTACGGCAAATGCATATAGGACTATATTCCCTAACTTTATATGCAAGATACTTTTAAAAATTAAAATTTTATTAATATTTGTGTTACTACACAAAACAAATGTACATCAGAATGTTAGTGCTAGAAGTTCAGCTAGAAAGTATCTTCATCAATTCTCTTTCATTTTGCAAAGGTTGAGAGATTAATTGATTTGCCAAAGATCACGTTCATTGGTTAGTAAAGGAATAAAGACCAGAACCCAGGTTTGATTCAACTCTATTAACTTTGCAATACGACAATTAAAATATCCTCGAAAACAAAATACTTCAAAGCCTAATATCTAATTATAGAATTATAAACTGTGAAATGAAGTAATTCACATTGCCTGATGAACCCTGTACCATATGTCTATACATAGGTATTTTGTTGTTGTGAATACCACCTATCCAAAACAGAGAATTTTGTTACAGAGGAAATATCTAATTACCTTCACACAGTAAAACATTAAAAAAAAAAAAAAAAAAAAAATTCATCCACATTATCTTCTATGAAAAGATGTAAAAAAGAAATGTAAAATATTATTTAAAATGAGCATGCCAATATTTCTGCAAGAAACATATTCCAGTTAGAAACCCTAATTCTAAAAATTAATTTGAAAAGATTAGCCAACATTCCAAGGACCTTAAGAACTCTCTCTACCCAAAAAGGGTAATAGATCAAATTAATGATTTTAAAAAATAAAAAAGCAAATAAAATAAAAAGTTACAAAACAGACTTCAATTTTATCCTAGAAAAATAAGGTACAACATGATCAGTTTATGAGAGAAATAAAATTCTAAAACAAGATAGTTATCTTACCAGTCATTTTCTTTGGGAGCAAGCTAAAAAATTCTTTTGAAACTACATAAACCACTTAAAAATAGGAAGCCATTCTACATAACAGTTTAACTCAAGATTCCAATAAGTAAAAAGCTGTACCACAGTTAAATATTCATTCAATCCTAAGAGCAAAAGAGGGTAGCTGCTAAATAGGCAAAGTAGTTCATGGGGTAGTTGGAGGTATCAAAACAAGTAGAGAGGACATCTCTCCTTTATTAATCTTATGTAGAATACATTGCCTTACTTTTAAAAATGGCACCATTAAATAGTATGTTTAAAAATGAAACATGAACAGAGCCAGTAATAATTGTAATTCTAAAATACTAAAGCCATTCTTTCTTTAAAAAATTTTAATATGGCACAAAATGACCAGTACAAACGGTGAGAATTTTGCATCAGGAAGAGTTTTACTTACCGTTTAAGTTTTCATCCCCATATGCTTTATTATTCAGTACAGTAAAAGAGGTATATTATATCTTAAAACTTAAGCATAATACAAATACAGCAAAATAAAAATTCCTTTATTTCTAACCTTCTGCTGGTACTTCCATTTCTGTTCCATCATTGCCCTCTGAAGAATGATGGCTTCCTAGAAGGAAAATAAACCTCATATAATAAATCAATAAAAAATTACATTGAAAGAAGAGAAACTAGGTAACAATGTAAATAATTTAAAACATATAACATAACATATACAAACTGACTCTTTAACTCCTTAGCAGCTACTTCAGACAATGTGAGCTAATTCAGAAAATATTTAACACTTGAAAATGCAAAAATTACTTTAAAATGTAAACATATACAGTGAACCTAAGTAGTTTGGGGGATTTAAAGTTAGTTACTGTAACTAAACATATAATTACTCATAGATGTTAGAATCTGAGAAACAGAACGATTGTTTCAAAGTACCATGCTCATCTGTCAATGACGCACACACACAAACACAAATTAGAGCAAATTCTTTCTTTGCTCATAGACTCTATTAAGTTTAAATAAACAAGTTCAGGTTTTGCCGTGAAATGTTTCCTGCTTTCCAGTTTTACTATGGTGGAAGCTATGGAAACTCAATCCCCATTATTTATTCAAAATTGTACTTAAAGGAAATTTTAAGTTAAAATTTAAGATACTACCTTTAGTCTGAAAAGCAATTTAATTCAGGTAATATAATCTGCCTGCTTCTAAAAACTGGAACATAAAGCAATGTATCAGGTTAGGCAGTCACAAGGTAAACAGGCTCATCCTACTAGAGCAGAAGCTTTACTCATAAATAGGAAAGAAGTAATCTAAAACATTAGAGAGCCACTTAAAATTAAGTACCCAAACTGCCCCTAAATATTCATCATCTGACCTTAAATGTCTGAGCTACTGGAAAAGGTTGAAAATCACTGCCTTTGTGTATAAATATATTACCTAAGAGTAAGAATAAATCACAGGGGGGAAGGGGAGAAGCAAAATCAAGTCTATTTTGTCATACACTGAAAACTAATTTCAGAAACTGTACTAAATGTACAACACTCAGATACAGGTTTTAAATATATTTTATCTTTATTTTTAAATATCATTAACTACAGTTAAAAAAACTGTCATTCAGTGTCTAGTACCTTTGAATTTAAAATGCAATACTAAGGTCAAATATTTTTGGTTTTCAATGTCTAGCATTATAATCAATTACCTTGGGATTCATTTCCACTTACTTCATATAATAAAAACTCACCTAAGCTCAAAATGCTAGGTTAATCTATAAATCTAGAACACTGAATTATTCTTTAATTTTTTAAATATGCTTTCTCAGCACATAGTCCATTCCCTCCTCTTTTTAAACTTTAACATTAGAATTTATGGAGCATTAGGTTATTTGACTCTAATGTCGAAGAAAACACAGGTGTGAAGTTAAAGGAACAAGAGATAATGGAGATGAGACCAGTACTTAAAACAGAAATACTGGGTAAAGAATAAGGACACTTAAGATGGTTGTTCCACCTTCGCAATATTACAAGAGTGCATGTAAACTGTGATTCTACGTCTTTTTTTACATCTGAAATAAGCAATTACATTTATATTAAAAGTAAAGCTAAAGAAAATAAATCTTATGCACTCAAAGCCAGGATAGACAGAAGTAAAAGCCATCACAAACAGCCTATGTCACCAAGTATGGGAGTACTATACAAAAATTTCCCAAAAAGGTATTCAATTAATAAACTTAGGTAGGGATTTACAAGTGGTATTTTACAATCTTTCAAAAAGCTAAATATCAACATGACCTTATCAATATTTACATTACTAGCGATACAATAAACACCTTACTTCTGACTATTCTGATATAAGGTATAAATGTGTACTTTACCTTAAATATGAAAGTGTGTCATGTACCCATTTCGAGATTCATTACTAGATTCACAAAAGGGAAAATTGGTTTTGAAAAATTGTTGCTTGTGAAGTTCATTTATGTTTTTTTTTTAAAAAAGGCCAATACATTTCTTTTTCCTTTTCCATTTAGAAAAGTAATAACAGATATAAATACTAAAACACAGTCTGTCCAATATAAAGAAACATTAAATAAAAACAGCATGTGGGAAAATGGAAGTGAAAAAGTTATACCTTGCAAAGACTTCGAAAGGGGGAGTTTGTCATCAACATCATCAGTTTCAGAAGGGCCTGCTTTGGAATACAAAGATAATACTTCAAAAGTAATCCCAAAACTATTTTTTGGGTCACTTTAGTAAAGAAATTTGGGTGAAAGATATGGAGTGATACGGCCTTTTCGTGAACAAAAAAGGCAAAATAAAAAAATGACTGAATATGAATGGTGTCAACTTACGGTCTCAGTGAATAGAAAAGGTGTGCTCAGATAAATTTATATATAGACAGTTAAAAGAAGTTTTAAAAATGACTAGACATATGGATTGAATGGGAATGAGATGTCTAAAATGGTGAATATGGTTTTTTTTAAACAGTAAAGGTTCATAACAGCAAACTGCAACTTTTATGTCATACAGATTGTAAGTGCAGGGTTATCTTACAAGGTGTACTTGTTCCTTCCTTGACAAATATTTGCTTAACCTTTAACTCTTGTCATACTGAAGAAAAATGCAGAATAAATTATTATACCTTTCTTAGACTCTCCAAAATCATGTGATTAAAGTTTCAGTAAGCTTGAATCTCCATTGAAATAGAAACATGACAAACTAACAGTTAATTCTAAATCCCCCTTTCCTGAAAATCCATGAGTTTTTTAATAACATAGTTCTTTCAAATTATTAATATGTAAAGTGTTTAGGTTAATTACACCTTCACAAAATGCTATAGAAATTATGGTAACACATTTGAGTGTATTATTCAAACATTTTAGTGATAAAAGATTTTAAAAAACAAAGACGTGTTTTCAATGGTTATGTAACATAAAACATGTTCTTTTATGATTATGAATACAAACCACTTCACCAACTAACTCTGAATTTTATTTAGAAAATAGCCTGAGACTTTTGGAAAGCTCGCTAATACATGAGAACTTTCACAAAGCACTAAAGCACATATTATAAGCAAAGGACACATCATAGAGGAAAATAATTTCATTGAAAATACAAAAAGTTTGTATTTGGAATCTCAACTAAGAGCAAAACACTGAATTAAAGAGACCTGAATTCAAATGCCAGATTCACTGCTTCCTAGTCATGTAATCCTGGGTAAAAATACACAGAAAAAAAAATGAGTAATAGCTAAGTAGCACATCTGACCTTCACACTCAAAATGCTACAGTCACTGTGAAAATCAAACATTACCAAAGCTCACATCTGAGTATCACTATCTTAGAGGAAGGCTGACACATGCAGAGATGTCCAAGCCTATTTGGGAATACCAAAATTTTTGAGAGAAAACATAAACGTCCTTATGTAGAAGAATGAACAAATTGATCACATGATATAACTACCACAATGATGGTACTAAGTCTACATGAGACAAAAGATGTAAATCTTGAAAATTCATATTGAATGACTGACACACAAAAACATATAACAACATATATAGTATGACATCACTTGCGTCAAGATTAAAAACTGAGAAACTACTATACATAAAATGATGTGTATGGACATATATACGGATACTTCTGTGGGGATATATACACAGTAAAAGTATAAAATCATTATCAGAAAGGACAACTCTCAATTTTAAGAAAATGGTTAACAGGAGGAAGAGAGAAAAAAGTGGAAATCTGAAAGACCTCAAAGAAGGCTGTCAATTACATATTTAACATGTTACATCATGTGGGAGTTAGGGGACAACAAAATATTAAGATTCAGTAAACCCAGGCAGATTTACATTATGTATGCAGATTTTAAATATTCCATTTAAAAAATATTTTAGAAACACAATATAGCAATGCAAATAAATTAAGTACACCCAACAATGCGTCTCACAAATTATGTTTTACAAATGAAGCCTGAAACAAGAGTACATGCTGAAAGACTCTGTTTATATTAAATACAAAAACAAACAAAACTAATCTAGGTTGTTACAAGTCAGGACAAGGGTTACCACTGTACGGGGGTCGGGGATGGTGCCTGGAAAAGAGCCCAAGGGAAAGGAGCTTCTAGGATACTGACAACTAACAAGAGATCTTCAGAATGCATAAAGCACGACTGGCAGAACTGAAAGGAGAAACAGGTAAATCCACAAGAGGTGGTCGAACATTTCAATACTCTTGTAACTGATAGAACAAGCAGACAAAAGTAATAGTAAGGATATAGGAGACATGTACCACTCTACCTACCAAGCTTAACAAAGTTAAAATAACTGAAATTATGCAAAGAATGTTCTCTAAACATAATGAAAATAAACTGAAAATCAGTAACAGAAAGTTATCTGTAAAGTCCACAAGTACGTGAAAATTAAAACTACACACTACTACATAAACCACAGGACAAAGAGGAAATCACAAGGGAAACTAAAAATGTTTTGAACTGAATGAAAATAAATACAAATTAAAGATTATGGGGTAGCTAATGCCTAAGAGGGAAGTTTATGGCATTAAGTGCTTGTATTGGAAACGATCTCGAATCAGTGATTTAAGCTTCTATCTTAAGAAACATTAAAAAAATTAAAATTAAAGCAAGCAGGAAAAAAAGAAACATTAAGAGCAAACCACTGAATGTAAACGCTAGATCTTTGAGGGCAAAAAAAATTTTGAGAAAACTCTAGAGCTGGACCAATGGTTCTCTACTGGGAATGATATGTCCCCCAAAGGATATGGCAATGTCTAGAGACAGTTTTGAGTGTCACATCTAGAAAGATGCTACTTATATCTCTACTGGTTAGAGTTCATGGAGGCTACTAAACATTCCACAATGCACAGCATATATCAGATGCCCACAACAATAAACTGGTTGATCTAAATGTCAATATTGCCAAGCTTGACAAACCCTGAGCTAGACCAACGAAGGAAAAAAAGGAAAGAGACACAAATTACAAAATTGGAAATGAGAAAGACATCATGATAGAACTTGCAAACATTTTTTTAAAAAGGAAACTTATGAGTAGACAAATTCCTTAAAAGAATCTGCCAAATCAAGAACAGAACAGTCCTATAACTATTAAAATAAATTTTAAAATTAAAAAATAACATCTGTTAAGAATATTCAATGATGTATAAAAAGAATTATACTTCATAACTAACTAGTGTTTATTATTCCAGGAATACTTGGCAGGTTAACATTTGAAAATTAATGTCAATTACCATTTGAACAGACTAAACAAGAAAAACAATATAATCACCTGGATAGATGCAGAAAGACCTTTCACAAATTTTAACGCCCAATCATAACACAAACTCTTCACAAATTGAAACAAGGAAACTTTCTCAAACTGATTAAGGGCATCAACAAAAAACTCACAGCTATCATACTGAAAGATTTCCTTCTTAAACTGTGAACAAGGTAAGGATGTCTGCTCTCACTACTTATTCAACATAACACTAGATGATCCGAGCCAGTGCAATTAACACAAGAAAAAGAAAGGAATTTATTAAATTTATGCACGTTAGAAAATCCCAAAGATTTAAACAAAAAGTTGGTAGAATAAGTGAATTTTAATTAGGTTACAAGACATGAGGTCAGCACATATAAATCTATTGTATGTAGTTCTATACATTAGCAATAAATAGTTGGGAGCTGAAATGTAAAAGAATAGTACCATTTATGGTAACACCAGAAAACATTAACTACTTAAGATATAAATCTTACAAAGTATGTACAACATCTGTATGCTGAAAACCAAATACTGATAAAAGAAATCAAGGAAGAACTGAATAGAAAAGATAAGATAAACACACACAAACACAACATGCTCATGAATCAGAAGATTTAATATTAAGATATTCAACCCAAGCAATAGATTCAGCACGACCACCACCACTGATATTTTTTTAAACCAATCAACAAACTGATTTTTAAAATTTATATGAAAAAGGAGCTAAAATAGGCAAAATAATATTTAAGAAAAACAATTTTGGAGGACTCTCACAATTTGATTTTAAGACTTACTATAATATAAAGTACTCAAGACAATGAAATTTTGACCAAGATCAATGTAACAATATACTCAAGAAACTGATAGATGTAAAGGTAATACAATGGAAAAAGAACAGTCTTTTCAACAGATGGTGTCAGGAAAACTCGATATGCATAAGTCTGAACTCACTATCTTGCACACTATATAAAAACAAGGCCTACATCAATCACAGATCTAACTGTAAAACCATAAAAAATTTTTATGAAACATAGAAGAAAATCTGTGACACTAGGTCAGGCCAAGATTTCTTAGCTACGATACTTAAGCGCAATCCATATAAGGAAAAATCATCCATAAATTCGACTTCATTAAACTGAACTATTTGCAAATAACACACCATAAAGGACTCTTATTCAGAATATACAAAGAATTGTCAAGATGCAATTATAACAAAAAGCGTCCAAACTGCATGGACTGTATCTCTCAGCCTGTGAGATAAAAAACTAGTTGTCTAGCTCTCATCTTCTTCAACTGAACTTAGAAAATTATCACTTCAGGCAATCTTTCTCCTCACTAAATTTATTTCCAACTCTTTATTACAAAGGCATCACCTTAAAATCACTCATATTCCCAATTTCAAAAGGGGGCAAAAAAAACTTCTAATATCATGGTTGATAACAGCAACACTAAAAGATAACACCAAAGACAAACTTTTTATTTTAAAAATTAAACATAACCTCTATTAAAAATATATATTTTATTAAATAGTATTTATTAAATTTATGCACTTATGTTAGTAAGGTAGCAACAACTGCTATGAAGTCTAAATATTTTCCAAAATATTAATGTATTAACTAAAAATCCTCAGAATTATCTCAGGCTTGTAGCCATGCAATTCCTAATGTCATAAGCAATATTCAAAACTGACAGATAAAAGTCATGAAATTCACTATGAAACGGTTTAATATATGTATACAGATATGTGTATGATTACAAACCAAAATAAATTTATTCATAATGTTTTTATAATGTTCCAGAACTGATAAAGGATTATCTTTTTATATAAACTAAACCTATAAGGCAAATATATTAAAACCAAAATGCAGTATCATAAGGCACCTACTAAAGTAGCTAAAAAGAATAAGACTGACCATACAAGTGTTGACAAGGAAGTGGAACAACTAAAACTACTGTACACTGCTGAAGGAAATATAAAATAGTACAAGTACTGTGGAAGACAGTTTGGCAGTTTCTTAAGAAGTTAAATACCTACCATACGTCCCAGCTATTCCATTTCTACGAATCTACTCAGGAGAAATGAAGACATTGTTCCACACAAAAATTTACCCACAAAGGTTGACAGAATTTATTTTTAATAGCCCCAAACTGGAAACAACCAAAAGATCCACCAATAGACAAAAGAGATAAATTGTAGTATAGCCATAAAATGGAATAATGCTCAGCAATAAAATGGAATTAGCTACTGATATATACAACATTATGGATGAATTTCAAAACAATTATGTGAAATGAAGCAGGTCACAGCACCCCACCCCAAGAAAACAGTACATACTTTATGATGATTCCATTTATACAAATTTCTAAAAAATGGAAACTAATCTAAAATGACAGAAAATAGATCAGTGATGGGCAGTGAATGACAAAGAGACAAAAGGAAACTTGGAGGTTATGGACATTTCATTATCTTGATTGCAATAAAGATGGTTTTATAGGAATAAACATAAAACTAATCAGATTTTATAATTTAAAAGTTTTAATGTACTTTATGCATGTATAAAAATTACTATTAAATATGGAAAACATTTTTCTAAACTAAAACCCATTGATGTATAAAAGCAAATTGCATTGTGAAATTATAACCTGATTCCTTCTTCATCATCATCAAGCAAAAAGATATGTAACAAAATAAAAAATAACTACAACTTATTAATGTCTCACTTTTTATAGATTTTTGTAAGATAATGACAATGTTTACAGTTATTGCTGCTGCAAAAATAGAGCCATTAAAGATTCAGAAGACCTCTCATGCCTTGCAAATAACATAAGAAACTGGAATTGAATTCTAAATTGGGCCACTTTTGCTTGTCCTCAAGAAAATTAATGGCTATTTTACATTACCCCTGTAATTGTTTGAATTTACTGTATTGTCCTATTTTTTAAATCTATTTCATTCTAGTGATAAATTATAACTACACATGCCAATCAAAAAACAATCAACGAAAAGTACTTAAGGAACCCAGGCAATTCATAAATTTTAATTTTAATCACTAATAACATTTGAAAAAAATTATATTAGATAATAATACCTTGAATGTTATATTGATAGTAATCAGGATCTTCTGATTCTTCCTTTACTGTCACAGCTGCCATTTCCAAGGAAATACCTGTAAAAGCAAATAAAATTATATGATTATATTTCAGGGCATTCAGTTAAATGGTACAGGGAAATCCCTTTTAACCCCCTAATAATGCAGCGTAATGTGTATATATTTTAAAGACTACGAAAGGACACAACTATGCTAGGTAGCAGGAAGATAAAAACCACCAAAAAGCCAACCTAGACAAAGTTTTACCACTAAGTAATATTCTGGAATTATTTGCTGCTAATTTTTTTCTCTGACAAGTTCTTTCTTTGGAATTGAAAAAAATTAGTCACACTCTATGTTCATTCACTATTAAAAATACTTCTATCAACCATTAAAAATCATTTGCAAATATCAACTTTAATGACTCAATATTCCAGAGTAAAGATGGCATCATTTTTACCCATTTTATATGAGATATATTGGTTTTGTTCCTCCTAAAAAATTCCTTTGTTAACAAAGGTACAAAGCGCACTTTTCTGCGGAAACCTTTGCCCACAATTAGGACAGGTAATTTAAGTGGACCTTTGTGGCTGGATATAAAAGAGCACATGTTGTATAATTCCACATATAGGAAGGTCAAAACAGGAAAATCTTTGTTATTAAAACACAAGTAATATCAATTATATCTCAATAAAGCAGAAGAAAACAAAATGTACATAACTCTGATTAAAAAATACTCCAGAAAGTGACTGACTTTGGGAGAAGAGTAATGAGACAGGGAGAGGAGAGGGCCTTCTTGGGGTGCTACGTTCGGTCTCTTGATATGAGTATTAGGTTACAGAGGTGTGTATATTATTTATTTATTTACATATAAGCTATATACTTATACTTGCATCATACTGTATTATACGTCAATTAAAAGTTTTAGGAAAGAAAAAAAATCTTATCTAATAAATTCTTATTAAAGATATATTCCCCATAAATTGTTCAAAAATAAATATCCCTTGCTGAGCTGTCTACTGGCATCTGACAGCAGGGATTTTCAAAAATAAAATCCTGATTTCATGGTATGATCGCAGTTGTTGATAATACTCTGACAAGTTTAAGAAATGAACAACCAATGAGTATCTGTACACATTTCAGACTAAGATATTCAACCACAATCATACCAGTTCTGTGATGAACTTAATACTGAGTTGATGCTATGTGATTTGAGAAGCTTTGTAGAGAACATTTAAGAATATTTTAAATTGAATTGAAGAAATAGCTCGAAAAGAGAGTTAGCTGGATGTATTTATCCCTAAAGCGACAAGCAAAGAAGGCGGTTATTCTATGGGCTACAATTACCTATGAGAAATTGGTTTGCTGTCACAAGATGGTGGCAGGGAACACGTCTGGAAGCCGTGGGATTCTGTGGGCTGTCTCTTTAGTATAACCACGTTCATCGGTGAAAGTTAATAGAAAAACAAAGCAAACAAAACAGGCAGATCTACTGGGGATTCAGATCCTTCAGGAGTGAAGATTTAGGTCACTTTAATTAGGTTAAAAACCTGACTGGCTAAGGTCTTGGCTAAAAGCAAAGGATATAATATAATGGGTAATGATTTAAGGAAGGTTATAAAATCTTATGATAAGTTGCAGAAATGTGGACACTGCATATTATCTTCCTTGGTATAAGTGCTTCTGTAAATATTATATATTTAGATATATTAACTGTTCTCACTTCTCCTTCACATTATATTTACAGAAGTTTTTGTTGGCATTTCATTTACCATTTAGCCTTTAAATAAGAATATTCAAATAGGTTGGGAGTGAATATGAGGAGTAATTACTATAGTCATGACTGTGTGGCAGCCTGACCCTGCCTGACCATTTCCTGCTCGAACAAGTTAGTTCCTGACTGCACATCCTTTACCCAGGACTCTCCGGCTGACACGGCAGTCCAAAAACCGCTTAAACGATTAAGCCGGTTTCCTTATAGTTCGGCAGTCGATGTTCTCCTTATGTTTTCCTTCCTTATATGTGTAGGAATGAGGAAGTACAAGATTGTATAAAACTGCCACCATGTTACAAGTAGGGCTCAGCCTTTGGATAAGAATCCTTTGAGCGGGCACTGGCATCAACGAACGACTGCTTCTTGCTTATAGCCTCGGTGTCTCGACTCTCTGAGAATCTCGCTACAACTGGACCGTAAATCAATGACTACTGAAACATTGTATTTTGGGTAAGAGTAAAAAATGAATGACTGTGTAGGAAGGAAAGCTGCATCAAAGACGAGAACAGTTGTTTTGGCGTTTGGAAGTCCAAGTATGTGGAAAAGGGTGTGTTTGGATACGGAGTAACTGAAGCGGTAGCCTGTGCCATCAGAAAGCTGTTGTCCCAGTTCCAGGCCCAACCTCTTAGGCTGCTGAAGTTTGGACTGAATACCAGTTGGCTGCTTGGAGGTTTTTTTGCCACAAAAGAACACAGCAGGGAGGCTAGAGGAGAGAAAAGGTATCTGCGCCTTCCTTTTGGCTTGTCTGTATACTGCTCCAATCAGGGTCACTCAGGGCTTGGTACACTATTCCAAACTAGCAAAAGCACACCCTTTCCACAGGAACAACTGGACCTACTTTAAATTTTTCCAATGCTACCAGAACCAGTTTCGACATGTCCCCTCAGACACCAGGACCACCTTACAAGTCAGAATAAAAGCTCTAGGGGTGTCAGCCAATTCCTTGAGTTGTTACATGATTTTTATTACAAAGTTAATAAATACAACTATTTAATCTTTACATTAAATTTTCTCCAAATAACTGGTATGACATTTTTCTCCTGACTGGACGATGACTGTTATACCAAGAAATATAAAAAATCAAATGAAAAGGATATATTAAAAAGAAATTTCAAGATAAACTGAATGTAAAGATACACAGTATAGAAAAATGGCATAGATAAGAGGCTTTGTTCATCCCCTCTTGTCACCAAATCAAAGTTGTGACAGAAACACAGAGCGAACAGCAAGCAGAGTTGCCTGGGGTCTAGATGAACAGAAGCCCTATAACTAGGGAGAGAAATAAAAAATCACCATGAAACAGGAGGAGGCAGGAGGCGGGGGGTGGCGGGGAACTGGAGGCTACCCAGTCCAGAGCAGCTGAGTGGGATAGAGGCTGTAGAAGCAGCAGTCGGCAGCTGAAGACACCTATTAAAGCGGCCCTGTCCACAACTGGACTTTCGCAGTGACAGATCTGCTTGCTCTGAGCACAAGGGTCAGAGGCGAGGCTTTCTCCCAGGCAGAAGTGCTGGCAGTATCCGTTGAGCCCTCCCCGCTCCCAGTATGGGAACACAGGCGCTGCCATAACTGAGACTCATCAAACTAGATAACAGAGGTCACTCTTCACAGGATTCCTTAAAAACCCACCTCACCCATCTCGCGGCCGCACCTAAGCCATGTTCGGTTGTATCCTCGGCTGAGTCCCGTGCTCCTTGCTGAGCACCTCCAAGACCCCCACTGGTGGCAGCTGGCCTCGGTTTCCGGTATGGCCTTGAGACAACTATAATCACATGATCTGTGAATTGCTTGCTGATTCTTAACAGGTGTCCCCAGGAGGGCACAGGCTGAGGCTAAACTTGGCCTGCAGCTGAACCTCTCTCAGGACTGTGTCACTGGATGCCTACTACTAAAGCCATGCTAATGAGACTGGGAGACTTGGGAGCTTTGCTTAGTACACAGAAACAGACATGGAAAGGCAGCCAAAACAGGAAGACAGAGAAGCAGAAACCATATAAGAGAACAGAAAAGAGATCCAGGAATAATGGAGTCAAGCAATCTAACAGATACAGAGTTCAAAACACTGGTTATGAAGATGCTCAATGAACTTAGGAGAAGTATAGATGAACTCAGTGAGAACTTCAACGAAAAAATAAAAAAACATAAAATGGAAATGGAAATTATAAGAGAACCAGTCAGAAATGAAGAATATACTACCTGAGATGAAGAGTATATTAGAGGGAATCAACAGAGTAAATGAAGAGGATCTAACCACTGGTACAGAGGATGAGGAAGCCAAGGACACCCAACCAGAAAAGCAAGAAAAAAGTAACCAAGAATATAATAATAATTTAAGGGGCCTACGGGACAAAATTAAATGGTAAAAACCTTCATGTCATAGGGGTACCTGAAGAAGAAGAGGGAGAACAAGAAGCTGAAAAGCTATTTGAAGAAATAATGATGAAAAACTTCCCTAATCTGGTGAAGGAAATAGACATACACCACCACGAAGCTCAGAGTCCCAAACAAGATGAACCCGAAGATGCCCACACCAAGACACATTATAATTAAAATGCCAAATGTTAAATACAAAGAGAATTTTAAAAGTAGGAAGAGAAAAGCAGTTAATTACCTACAAGAGAGCACCCATAAGACTGGCAGCTGATTTCTCAAAAGAAACTATTCAGGACAGAAGGCCTTGGCACAAAATATCTGATGTGATGAAAACCCAGTATCTACAACCAAGAATACTTTATCCAGCAAAGCTTTCATTTAGAGTTAAAGGACAAATAAAGAGCTTCTCAGGCAAAAATATGCTCAAGGAATTTATCAACACCAAGTCAGTGTTACTCAAAATGTTGTAGGGACTTCTTTAAGAAGAAAAAATATGAAAAACAGGAATAAACAATGGTAACAACTACATTCCTATCAACAAGTACCTCAAGTGGAAAAGAATTAAGTGCTTCAACCAAAAAACAGAATGGATGAATGGATAAGAAAACAAGACCCCTACATTTGCTGTCTACAAGAGACTCACTTCAGATTAAAAGACATACACAGACTAAAAGGAAGGGGATGAAATAAGATATTGCTTTGAAGGACCTAGAGGGTAGTGAGCTGAATGAAGTCAGTCAGATAAAGACAAATACCACATGATTTCACTACATGTGGAACAAAATCAATAACAAAATGGAAACAAACTCATAGAAACAGAGAACATTTTGAGGGCTACTAGATGGGAGGGAGATGGGAGGGACGGTAAAAAAAAAAAGAACCAAGGGATTAAGAAGTACAAATGGATAGTTACAAAATAGGCATGGAGATATAA